TAGTAGAGTGAGTCCAGCAAAGGACCACAAAGATTATTTAATAATTGGAGCATCTATCAAAAGGAAAGGCTATGAAAGCTAAAATTGTTTAGATTTGAGGAGAGAGGACTTTTTTTTTTTTTTTTTTTTTTAAAACTTTTTTTCCCCCCCGAAAATTAAGGCCCCAGTGTTAGAATAGAAATACTATTAGATGGGGGCATGGGTCTTATCTCAGATGTTTTCTCTAACTGAAGACAGTGCATCAGTTACTTAATGCAAAGCTCAATACCTGGTTGTCCTAACTTCAGCAGCTCTATTACATGCATATCTACAACATAAAATAGTGCTTAGGAGCTGGATAGTATGCACAGAGCATTTTAAGAGAGGGGAGAGGGGTGCGCATCCACGATGATTTTTAAGAAGTTAAAATCCAGAAATTTACAGATTAGCAGCTGGTAAAAAACATGTTTACAGAATATTAAAACTACAAAGCTACAATATGCATGTACAGTTATGAGAAGTAAGGACAGTGCTGTACTGCTGCTGACATACATATAGAGTTTCCTCAAAGTAAGGAACTTACAGGGCCCTCTTCTTCCCCTATCGTATTTCTCATCCTATTTTGATAGTTCAGAAATCAAAATAAACCCAGAAAAATAATTATTTCATACTACATTAACTGCATAACAAAATTGTATGAGAGAATTGCAAATATCAACATATATAAAAGCTTTAAGCAGTCTATTGGAGTATTTTAATTATTCTTGCATTTGTAGCAACCTAAGAATATCCCCCATAAAACATAAAAATCTCTCAGTCTTTGGCACACAGATTAGACCCTCAGCAATTTTTCATCTTTCTTATTCAGGGCAGTTTCATTACGTTTTACTCCCACCTGGTGGTTGTATCCAACAACAGCACAAGTGAACATCCAGTATTTCTGGGTGTAGTTCAACATGCATTAGGTAAGAGTATTTATGTGGGATCTAGGCATGAGTTTTCTGCCTAGTTTCAAAAATTAGAGGCGTGCATTTTCTATTTTTCTATATGCCACAACTAATGCAACAGTCTACACTATAAAAACCCTTAATGTTACACTCAAGTAGCTCAGACTGTATCCGTAACTGATAAATCTAGCAAAATCAAAGTGTTTTAAAGCAATACAAATTTTCCCATTTGATAACATGCAAAGCAGTAAGCAAAACCTACATGAAGGCTATGCTAGACAAAGTATTATGGAGATATGAACATTTTCTGAACTTGAGTACTTACAATAGCACTATCAGCTCTACAAACTTGCACAGGTATTTAATAACTAACTCCAAAAAGGTATTGCCACTACATGGAATAGGTTTTTACAAAGCAGTGCAATGCTACTGTGCAGACCTAGTGAATACCACAAGAGGGAGCCCTTCCCCAAGGTAACGTTTTGAAATAAAGTACAGATTTCTGACTAGTTGCAGTAACAGAAGTCCATGGTCAGATCCAAAATCTACTGGTATTTCTGAAGTCTTCACACCAATTGTGGTAAATCTTGGTTTATTTCAGTAACGTCTACCCCTAGCATAAGCTCTGAAATACAGAGTCAAACTTAGAAACACTAAGATACTGAATTTACTTCCTTGCTAGCCTTTACTATTGGATTTATGAACCATAAATTATACTGTGTATGCATAAAGTGGTACTTTCAAAAGATTATCACATGAAAATCAGAAGATGGTCACTGGAAAATTCAAAGGCCTTCCTATGTGACAGCTACTTCTTCCAGCAGATTTCTAATTAAACCAAGTTTTCTCAAGTACTGCAGCAACTCTTACAGAGTGAAAAAATTATATAATATTCACCCTTTGATATATATTTTTGTAGTTTTTCCAAAGTCAATTCAGACACAGAATGAAGGATTATTTTCTTTTTTTTTTTTTTTTTCTTCATGTTTGGGAGTAAAGAATATAAATCTAGCAGCTAAATCCATGTGAAAAAAATGAGAATTAGCTGGGTTTTTTTTCTTCCACGTAGGAGACATACAAAATTAGCAATCCCCCATGACGTGGGACAAAACAGATCATAAAAGAACACAACTATAAAGAAACTCTAAAGTCATGTAGTCTAATCTGCTGCTTAAAACAACTAAACTGCAGGTGCAATCAGGTTTCTCAGGGCTTCAGCCAGCTGAGTTTTGGAAAATTTCCAAGGATTTTTATCTCCCAGTCTCTCTGGACAACTTTCTCCAGTGTTCAACCATCCCCACTGTGAAGAATTGTTGCTTTATGCCCTGCAAACACTGATTCTTACCTCTCACTGCACACTGGAGAAGCAGCTGGCTCTATACAAAGCAGTTGCAAAGCCAGATGTACTCTTGCCTTTCCCACATAAAGACTTTCTGAAGTGGGCAAAGTCTACTCTCTCAATCCTTTATTCGACAATTTTCCTTCCTCACTTCTCAAGTCTTACACTACTCTATCACCAGCCAGGGTCACCACTGACCACCACACCTAGTCAGCTCCTCCTATTTGTTCTAAAACCCATGAAAAAAAGTTCTTTTACTGTCCAGATAACGCAAAAAATACTTGACAAGTTTCATAAAGGTGACAGACAATATGCGTTATTTCCTGTCTTCACCTACCAACATGTAATTTGTTGTTAACTTCTTTAATCTTAAAACAACCCTCAAAACAGGAACAAAAAAAACATATCCTTACAAGTTAGGGAACTGGAATTTCATTAATTTGCTATCTGTATTACTAGACGTTCATCAAAAACTATATATTTTTCAAAGAAAAATCCTCCAAAGTCCTATTACTACCTCTTCACAGAGCAGGAAAAGGACAGAACAGTTAATTGTAAATTATTTCTTCCAGATTAAATAAATTGTTTCACATAGCGAAGGTACTACCTCCTTTCTCCAGCCAAATCTACAAAAGAATGTCCTGTTTTCACCAGTTATTTCCCTGAGACATATACAAATGTCCAAACCGTTTTCAAATATTAGTATCCATTACACATGCCATAGCCATAAGCATGTTAACCAATACTGGAAAGCATGCAAAGCTCACTCTGCCAGACATCAAGGCATCATTGCTGCAAGTACAAGTAATATTCTTTTCCTGCACCTTGTTTTCCTTAAAACAGTTTATTTTTATTGAGCATCTTTACCACACTCGATATGCTCATATTCTATAATTTTGCTTGTTTACAATAAATCATTAACAGTTGAATCTAACAATCCAATCCCAACTGCTCACAGCTAGTAACTTTCTTAAAACAATTTTTTCATCTTGAGAATAAATTTATATTTATAATCATAAAGAGATGGATTTATGAATCTTGCATTAACACACAAGGAAGAAGTTTGAACAGCATGTTTCCACATTAGCTTCTAATAGCTTTTATTCCACATTACTATTCAGAGCAGTGAATTTGGTTTAACTCCATCGAGTCTGCAAAATTCTTTAAGAAAATCCAACAGAACAGTTAAGACAGATGTTTGTGATATATCACACAGAAGCAACATCAACTAGCCAATAACATATTAACAATTCAATTAGCATCTTAAATGAACATGGAGTTAGTAGTTTGAAAATAAGAATATATCTGTACACATATAACAGACATCCATTTTAATTACGTTATGCTGAGTACTAACCATGAATTAGTGAGCCATTTAACCACTGAATATAGTAGTTTTGTGGAAAAGAAAGCAGGATCTCATTGCTGATTATTGAGAAAGGTAGAAGCAGGACTGCACCAGCTGAAACTGCTAGAGTGAAGGTGCTCAAGAACAGCCTGAAATTTAAAGAAATGTACCACTGTTACCATCAGCATGCTCTGAACAGGGAAAAAAAAAAAAAAAGTAGTTAGACAACCTATTAATCAGCATTTGAGGAAAACACATTCTTACATTGTAAAGGGACAAGAGAAGCTGATTTCTAGAGTATTTCACTTCCAGAATGCAAATTTCAAATACCAAGTAGATCACAGAATCCAGTAAAAATAATTCGTTTTTACCAACTACCAAAATTATTCTCTTGGGGCTTGCATGCATTCAATTCCAATGTCATACATGTTAAATTACTGGAGTTCACATAACACCTTTTCATAAGTCTCCTATTTTAATTTTCATTTCACACACACACACTTAGAATAAAAAAAAAATCCATTTCTATATTCTTCCTACAATTTTTAAAAACAGAGAAGCTTTTTAATGTCTAAGTAATGAGTACAATTATATGTTATCAAATATTTTAATACTAAACTATTTGAGTATCATCTCATTACTCGGGGTTTTCTGGTAGCTGTTAAGTCAATACAGAGAAATTGTCAGCTTAATTCTTTTTAGATCCAAAATACAATTTATATCAAATGCCATCTTGTGGCATTAAAAAGAACTGTGTTCTTAAAAAAAAAAAAAACAAAACCAACAAACAAACAACCAAAAACATTCTTACAGAACTAATCCAATGCTAGAATAAAATCAGAAATCATTCTCAAAATTGCACGACAAAAGATACTTAAATAGATTGTTCAGACAACAGGAATGTCAGTAAGTTGCTTACAGAGATCTTACTTTTCCTTAACAGTCTATGAATCCCTTTTTTATTCACACAATGAAACTACAGCTTAACTGCAGAAGAAAGTCTGGGTGACTTATTTTTAGAAAGTATTCTTATGTGGCTTTGTTAGTGGTCTCTTAGGTATTTTTTTTTTCTTTTATTTAAGTATTCTAAACCAGAATTATGAAACTTAACATATTACAGCCTAGCAAGGTGCTAGAGCAGTTTGGCTTTGTTTTCTCTCCACCACTTCTTAAGTCCTGACAATTATGCTATGCAAAGAAATATCCATTTGCATATGTTTGACAGTTATTGCCTTCTGGAAAATAACATGCACACTTAAGGAACAAGAAAGCTTAGGCTGGAAGAACAAGAAGCATTTTATAACAACACTTTTGATGAAAGACTCTAACGGAATTGCTCATCTTGTCTTACATTGTTTGTACATGAAGAACGCAGTATTTACAATTGGTATTTTAAAGCTATAATAACCTAGAAAACAGATGCAGGGCAGATAACAGTTAACAAGACAAATTTTGCTCTTTGAATATTGAAATCCAGAACCAGGTTAAGACCCCCACTGCTATGAAAATCATAAATCTAGAAGAGCCTTCACTATAGTCTTAAAAACATGGGAGATGCTACTCTACTTGAGAGGGAAGAGTTTCACAGCATTTTAAAGTGTGTATTTTTCTCTAGATCTGAATTAGACCTTGTGGCTAATAACTAATTTCAAATTATAAAAAATATTGTTATCAGACACTACCATCAGCAGAACACTTAAGATTTACATCACCTTTGTACATCTTTCAAGCCTGCCACAAATGCGCAGCTGAAAGTGAACAGCTTGCAATGTACTCGGCACTTTCCCAGGGTACAAGACAAATCAATAAAATACTCAATGAGCTCTCCTTCTAAGAGGATGACAGTACCACCACGGAAGAGCTAAGAACACTGTAATAAGCAAGTAGCAAGTCCACATAGTTATCAAATCATGTAACTGTGGCAGCAGCTCACAGATGTTCTGTAGATCTTCAGATATATTTAAATAAGAAAGATTAATATCCAGCTTTACAAAGGAACAGGAAGAAGAGAAAGAGTTGCTGGCAGACCAACAGCTCTGGCAAGTGCTTGTCTTTCATTTGTTATTCTGGTTTACGCCTTAAGATGATCAAATACAGATGTCCACTTCAGGGTCAGTTAACTGAATTCCACCTCTTGTATCAGGCCCTCATGTAGTATTTTGGCCAATTTCATGCCTACCAGGAAAACCACAGGTGAAAAAAGCCCCAGACCAAACTGCCTTGCCTGTTGTCATGTCTTTCATAACACAAGGTGCCACTTGACCAAATATTTTTCCTCTGCCCTGTAGCAATCTATTTGCTGTCATATTTGAAATGTACTGTTATTTATTTGGAAGCATACAAGATTCCTTTCATAACAATATAGTCAGGAAAAAAGTTCTGCAAAAAAGCTATACATACGATATTCTGTTAACGATGGCATCTTCATCCTCTTGCTCATCTGAAAATAAAATTAGAACAGGTTATACTCAATACTTAGCTGTCATTCCTCGGGTTAAAATGTATACACGTAAGAATCATTTTAATTTACAATTAAAATTTAGGATTACTAAAACAATTTGTTAACATCAATATTTAAAGAACATTCTTATCAAAAATGAATACTCTTTTTTTCCTAGCCTTAAACTCTTTTCAGTCAATGTAACTATGAAGTTATTTCATTTTATTTAAATACGCATATCAAAACTTCTTGGAAACATCTTCCAGAGGGCTCTACAGCAAACAAGCTTTCAGACTGCTACTACCACCATGGCTGCTGCTAGTCTCTGTTGTTTCAGAGTTCCTAAGTGACAGAAAAGTCTTAGGGTCCATACTAACTAATACTATAAATTCCTAGATGTTTCATTTTCAGTATTAATGTATTTTTAAAACGAGAAAGCATACCCATGACAGTAGTGATGACCTCTCAGCTGCTTCCCTTTACTCATTCCGACTCGGGGATTTAGTGAAGACAGGGAAGGAGCATCGTTCTTGTTCTTGGTTTTATGGATTTAAGATACCATGGTTTCCTTTCTGGTATTTCACATTTTAGACCATTTTTGTTCACTTATTCCTCAACTAATATTCTAACTTTTTAAAATAAAATCAACATTTAACTCAGAGGTCAATCGCTAATATATTCTTCATTTATTCTTTATATCCTTTTCTACACACATCTGTACACAAATATATTCATTTCTACATTTGAAATAATTTGAGTCATCTTTCTTCTTTTAAGGCTCCCAGGTTTTCCATGAGAGGTAACTCAAATTTATTTTAAAATCTAAAAATAAAGCCGGGTGTCTCAAATTCTTAAGAATCATGCACACACTTGAAATAAACATATAGCTACTCATCACGCTATCTGGAATTCTTCTGTGAAAGCACATTGGGTTATTTTTCTGTTATTTTGATGGGAATCTCATGGTGTTTTGAGATATTAAGTCAAGATCACTTATGAATCATTTGGCTAAAGAGCTTGTTGTAGAAACAGCAACAATTTGCCCTGAAAGAATTCCAAACATGTTAACTCTTCAAGTGTGTCTCATCAGAAAGGTCCTAGCAGGCTACAAAGTTTGCCTAACTAAATGCTCACAACAAAGCTTTAATAAAGTCAGGACAGCTGCAGAGCAGTTCCTCTCACTAGCAGATGAGATGAACTGCCAAAAAAATAATATGTGTTGTTACTTCCAATAGTGTTTGCCAAACCAGTTCCTTCTTCCTGCTCTTCCCTATCTCAAAATGGTAGCAGCTTTGTAGTATCAAAAATACATACCAGGATGAGGAGACAGTATCCATCTTCCTCATTTGTTTAACCATTTCATATGTTTAAAGAGGTGTACTTTCTTTTTTTAAAGGCACTAAGTTTCTTGAAGAGTTTACTTTTTTAGAAACATGAATCCATCTATGAAAGCAGCTCTATCATAACATGGGTCACTGTAGCTCAGTGAACAGTTCCCATTAAATTTCAAAGTGCCAAGATCATTATGCATAAGAATGCTTCTTCAGCATGACTATTACTGAGCACCAAGGTCACAGATAACCTGTCAAAAGTGAAAAATTCTGCCATTTTGTAAAGATTTTAATACTCTTTGTCCTTAGAAGAAAGTGACAGGGGTTCCTACAGACTAGTTTCAGGCAGACAATATTTCTAAAAGAAAAAATATACAGTATTATCTCAAGGAATAAGACTTCAGTGTTAAGGTCATAAGGAACAGGTTAAGAACACTGAAATATATGTACCTGAGCAAAGGAGGATTTTTAGAAAAAAATCCACTATTTACCTTCTGTATTACTGGCAACCTTCTCACTTTACCAGCTAATGCTCTGAACTTGATTTTGGTGCTAGACCACAGCCTGAAAATACTTATTCTGGAGAAGCAGACATGAAAGGAGAACAACAGGATCTAAAGGCAAGGGAGGCAGAAGCATCTACTTGACATTCACACCTTTCTTCCTCTCCAAATCAGTTAAAATTTAGGCTGCCATGGAGCCAGAACATAACTGATTGTGGCCATCCACACCACCTCCATAACAGCCACCCACTCTCACTCACAATAGCAAAGTGCCAGCTACAGGGCTCTCTGATCCTTTTCTGAAATGCTCAGTGCACTCCCTCCCTCGGACAGTGATATTAGAAGGCATATTGAAAGGTCTGAACAGGCACAAGGGAAGTAATGGAAACTCACAGCCCAGGGACAAAGGGAGCAGACAGAAGGCAACGACAGCAGCATATACAGTCAGATCAGTCTGGGCTGCCATAGACCAGCAGCCTACTTTTTGTTAGAGATCTGGTTCTTCTGCTTTCCTTGTGGAGGCGGGGAGAAAAAGAATCACCTATTCACTTGAAAAACAAAATTATTTTTGAATATATTAAAAAGTCTATGCTTACCTGCTTTCCTTTTGTATCTTGTGATTATGAAGTAGGAAACTATGTAGAGAACAGCAAATAGAAGAAAACAGATCTGGAAAAAAAAAAAAATTGCATTTATGGGGTTGTGAAGAAATGCCTGAATTATAATAAGAGTAGACAAAAAATCCAGTATCAACAATTTAAAATTTAAAATTTAATTCAGATCAACAAAAGTGTATTCTATGTAAACATCAACACTGTTATGTTTTATACCTTATTAATATAAACCAATAAGAACAGTTTAATTAGAGTAAGAGGTATTGAATCGATTATTAAGAAAAAATTAAGAAAAAAAGCCTTATTTACAATGTGATTTTTTGTTTGGAAGAGAGTTGGGAAGGTGGGTTGTTTTTTGAAGTTTGAATCCACTTGACTTGTGAAGGGGATACAAAGCGTGGTATTTTTTACATCTAAACTAAGCATAATTGTATTTATATGACAGGCTTGTCAAGATCTATTTTGGAGTAGATTATCAACATGAGGAAAGAAGAAAGCAGTTATGTTTACAATTTCCATCATGTCTTGAATCAAACAAATTTCAGGTGACAATACACACAAGGGACTCATCTACCTATAGTCGGCGTCAAAGCATGAGCTAGTCAAACACATTGTTTCCTTTAGTTAGAAGCCAAGGGCGCAATTTCCATCCTCATAAGGTAGGCCAATTATCTAGGTTAGATGTATCTTGAGCCCAGCGTGACTCGCATCAAGGTGTTTCTAAGATTTAGCACTAGAATTTCAATATAATATGGTAAGACCAAAATACCTACAAATATGTTGGAAATCTTGGAGGAATCAAAGAGCAAGACAGTTTTAACCCTCCAAGCCTTTGTAGGAAACGGAAAAAAAAACCCAACACCACCACATTTTATTTGTTCCTGAATGAGGCATCAGTGGCTCAATGCTGCTTCCTTAATCTGATTTGTTGATACCTATTAAAAACATGAGTCAATCAGAAAAGAAACAAGAACAAAGCATGCCATTCCATGATGCTGGGGCCCTGAGCCTTCACCTGAGCAGCCACAGTGACCAGCGCTACCAGCAGTGTACTTGTTTTCTATTAACTTGCAGGAAACCAATTACTTGCACATCACAGACTGAGAAGCTACATGAAGCAGCCCAGTGCTTGTGCACAATACCAGTAGCCACCTAATACGTCTTAACAGACAGCAGTTAACCAACTGAATCAGGCAAAACTGTTTTAGCAGTTTTTAATAAAGTGAGTTTACCCTATTACCTGTACAAGGTGGGTTTTTTTTTAAACAGGCCCAGTCTACATATGCAATTTATAATGTGTTCTACTTCAGTCTGAGCTTATTTAAAGATCTGTTACTTTTAAGAACTCACTGTCTTAACAAAAAAAAAAATAAATCAAGAGCAGAAAAGCTACCCTAAGTGAAAAGAAAAAAAAAGCAAAGGTAGTGATGATAGCCCTTAAAAATGTACATCTAAATAAAAAGCCCTTAAAAATTTACATCTAAATAAGCATATTACATCCAAATTAGCAGAATCAGGGCGGAGGGGAATGCATCGCACAATCAGGAAAGACAGACCTTTTAAGAAGTACTAAAAAATAAACTGAGTTCCTTCTTTTGTCTAGTCAGACATTTTAGATTAAAAAACCAAAGCATAGTCAAGTGTCTGAGCCTGGCATATGGGATGCTTCCAACTGCCCTACGCATGTCTCCCAGAAGTATTATGGTGCCATAGGTCTGAGAGTGGCAACTGAGCTCATTCTCTGTGCAGGAAACACACAGCGGTGATACCTGAAATACAGATGCTGAAAATTAGATTTCATAACTAGATCTCTGAATTAAAATAGTGTTCACCACTCCAACTTTCCACAGGATGCTTCAAAGAAGAAAAGGTTTTGATAAAGAATTTCATTCTTCAAATAAATAATAAATAATTTTATTAAGATTTAATTTTAAAAATAGGCTGGTATATTTTTGAATCAGGAAGAACAAAATAAGCTGAGAACAGCCTTGGGTTTTCAGAGTACTCTGACACAGCTTGTCCTCTCAATATGGGAAAATGCAATACCAGTGCTGAAAGAGAGTCCTTCCTAAGTTTCCAGTTCCTCTGAAAACTAGACCAAGGCTACAGAGACATCTAATTTTAGACATCCACTTTTGAAAATCAGGTATCACATACAGAGGGTCAGTAAAACTCTTTAAAAGCCATCAGACCCAAATAACAGTGCCCTGTGTAAAATTAAGGTATAGTTAGGCTCATTTTTGGTTTAATTTTATTGAAGAATAAAAAATACTGCAATCTTGTTTGTATCTTCAAAGTAGATGACCTTTATTCTATCTGTTATAACTGAGTTACAATGAAAATGTGGGTCTGTACTTATAAGGTACCACTGAAATAACTGAGGTATTTTGAGGGTGCAGCAGATGAAAGACATCCAGTAACATGAACTGGCAAACGTTGCATTTCTAGTGTTAGATGACAGCTACTTTGCAACTTGGCATTAAGGTGTAACTATATAACTTGGTGTAATTATCCTTCTACTTTTGTCAGAATTGAGAACAGCTTTATCAAATATTTACAAAGTTGTTTATTACTGAAAAGTCACATAATTTAAAAATGATCAGCAAGAGAAGTAAATTCTAACCAGTGAAAGCTTTAGAATCTTAACAAAAGAGAACTCGTAAATTAAAAGTCCTTCATACTGACCAAAACAACCATGCATTCTGAATAGCTTTCTAAAGGGAGTAGCAAAAGCCAGCATCGTAACTATTTTTAGAGCAGAACTCAGTTAAGCTGGGGAAAAGGAATGTGTTGACCATGATAGCTAAAGAATAGACTCCCCTGTCCTGTCACACTGCAATCCTGGGTTCTTACTCCTCCTCTTTGCTTCAGGGTATTTTTGTACTGAAGAAAAAAAAAAAGATACAGTCCTTGTTTGTACTTCTTCTAGCTTCAATTCACATTTCTCAATTATGAATTATCAGGCTTGTATGCAGTACTCCAGGTAAGGTCTTACAGCCATAGATAAAGAGCACTAAGCCTTTCTTTCTGTACTGAAAACACATTCACCTGAGAATCACACTAGTAATTTAGCATTAGCCTCCGGTCGCTGAATCCATCCACACTGTCCTCCTCAATTGCTTACAGCAGAACAGTTCTCAAGTTACAATAGAAACTTGTTTTTAGGGTTCAAGTTCATCATTATGGCTTCCGGGTTTTTTTCTCCCTTTTAAAAAACACACCTTGATTTCATACATCTGTTGTTTTGGGGTAATAGAGTCCTTTCTGCACCTTGTTTTAACTCTCCTTTGTATTTACTACATCTCCTAAATAACTCATTTTGTACTACCAACAGAATGTTTTACTTCATCTTCATTTAAGTTAGCAAGGTTGCTCTTCACACTGATACCTGAGGACACTGAATAGTAGCAGTTTCCCCCCCCCCAAACACAACACCTATTGTCATGTACACTACAGCCAGTTTCTTATTCACTTTACAGCTCCTCTAAAGCAACTGAGCCTAGTTTAAGAAATACCTTTCAATGCATTTCCTGTATACGCAAAAGAAGCACTCTATCAATAGTCATGTGGCTTCAGAAAACACAGTTCTTAACAACTCCTATTTGACACTCTTGAAAAACCCTTAGAAGAGGGCAAATTCACATATACATATGTTCATAGTACCCTAAATCTTCTGTCAACTTTCATTTCTAATCACTTATTTAAAAGCATAGACAATCATACTGAAATAAGACACTAATCAGAAAAGAACACCATACATAAAGCTACATTGATATCTTCAGTGACAGAAGAGATTGTATTCTTTAAATTCCATCTTTTCTTCAGAAAATTATTATATGTGACAGTATTGGAGCCAATATTGGTATACAGTGTTAAATCCAAACCACACTGCAAGCTATGTTTTCAACCAAAAAGCTGTGTTTTATGCCATCACCCATCTCTAAAATAAGGGCCAACAAGAGTCAAGGATACTGTAAATGCAGCAAATCCAGGGTAAGCTATATTCCTCATATCCCAAGTTCTCTGCAGAGTTTTTCACTGGAGCTCAAATGAAGCTCTTCCAGGTATGACTTGAGGAGACAGTGAAGACACTGTGCAGAGAATGTACAGAACTGTGATGAATAAGGAGTTCTAAAATTACCTGATAGTGTCAACTTAAAAAAACAAAACACCAAAACCACACATCAAATAACAACTTCTAATCTTAAAATTTGTTTCCTTAAATTCCAACCTTACAGAGGGGCAAAGTAGTTGTGGATTTGGTGCCATAGTTAAGACTGCTCCTGGGAAGCTAGTTTAAACCCAACTATGGCACGTTCTCACATTGTAGGGGAAATACATTCAGGCCATATTTGACCAACTGCATCAAAATATAAAGAAAATTAAGAGGAGTTTGAGAATTTTATATAGCTATAGCCAAACAGTCAAGGCAAAGCAGTTCTTAGCAATTTTTAATGTCTTTTTTTGTGCTTAAACCTCCACACCACTCAGTAACTGAAAACAAAACGCATGGATTCAACACTACATGTAGAGACTCCCTTTTAACAGGTGGCACTTTAAGAAGTCTCCAAACCTTGAGCATATACTTCATTCACATCTCTCTGCATGGACTAAATACAACCTCTGCTAGGACAAGCAAAAGAAACCCGTGTTCCCCTGGAGTCCTTAACCCTCATTTGGGAAAGGAAGCGCTTTAACGCTCCTGCTTAGATTACAAACTAGACTCACACATCAAGAGAGGCTACTTCTGGAGACGCACTGCACTGCATTCTTCAGTATCTTGTATCCAGCTCTTCCACAGAGTCATACTTTTGACTCGTCATCTAAAGTCACACAAGTACAATCCAAGTCATATTTTTGGATCTGTACCAGACAGCTCTCGACTTCTGTGAGAATGGAGCTGGAGATAAACTGCTTACATTTCAGTTTGTAACTACATGCATCTAATGGGCTGGCACTGAAAAGTCTAGCATTAAACATAAGCAATAAAGATCTGAACTAACTCAAATTATGTTGTACTTATCCCACTGACAGTTACTAAAGATGAACT